ACATTCGTGAGCATCGGGGGGCGAGCCTCTGTTTCCCAGGTGCAGCCCCAGGGAGGGCCTGGCCGTGCGGGATAAGCTGGGCCCGAGGTCTCCGACTTGCTCCATAGAAACTTCCAGAACAGAATGGAAGCAGCATGCAGATGGCATGGTGAGCGGATCCGGGCCGACCGGCTCTAAAAGTAAATGTGTGGAAGTCGTTGCCCTCGTGGTGGAAAGACACGAGTTTGACGTCCCCAGTCTGCTGTGATCTGTGCAAGCGGCCGGGGAAGAGTAACTTCATCCCTAGAACTCTGCCCTTAGCAAACAGTCCACAGTTTTATGCTGCTCCCGTGATATTGTAGTAGTGTGTGGTGTTCTGGCCAAGTAGGTCAGGACTGCAGTGTTTTAAATTTTCCTTGACGCTGAAATTAATGGCTAGTTCAGCGGGAAAGCCTGGGAGGCGCTCTTGCCAAGTGCAAAGATTGGTGGTCTTCTCTCGCCAACCCCAACTGCTAAGTTCCTACTTACGCCCAGCCTCTCTCCCTCCTCCCAGACTGCCAGTTGTCACTTTGGCACCTTTACTCCTGTGGTGAGCAGAGCTCTGCCAGGAAAACTGTCATAAGTCCTTCGATGTCACTCTGCAGGTTCCTCTCTGCCCTGTCCAACTCTGGGTGTTATGTGTTCTGACCATGGGGCAGGGAGGCAAAAAACTGGAGACTCCTAATTTTGTGATGGCTGATTCTAAGGCTCTCATGGCAGAACTTGATCTTCGTTCATAGCATAAAACCTGGGCCATGTGATTGACCCTTTCTCAGAGATTTGTAAGGACATCAGTTTGTTTGAATCTTTGCTACTTACTAGCTGGTGTTCTAGCCTTTTTCTTGCTGTTTCCTCATCTGTACTGACCTCGTAGGGTATTCTTGATTAACTTAGCAGCCTTAAGTAGCAACCATTTGCTTTCTTTTGGTTACATAGACATCCAGGAAGGCTCAGCCAAGTTACCTGTTTAGGGCATTACAAGGCTAAATTCAAGATGGTGCTCCAATCTGCAGATTTAGGGGGGAAGAATCTGCTTCTAAGCTTGTTTATCATGCTCACAGAATCTAATTCCTGTGAGTTGTAGAACTTGAACTGAGCATTCATTGCTCATTATCTTAGGGTTCATTAACATGAGACTTCAATTGCTTCTTAGTCTCTTTACAGTAGCACCTAGATGACTGAATAGCCAAGGAAGAGAAATCTTGGTGGACTGCAGAGAATTCTGCCTGTTACTGGTGACTAGATGAAGAAATATATGGAGAGCCCTCAGAACCAGTCCTGGCATCTAGCAAGACTATTCAAGCTTTAATAAGGAGTTACTGCCATAGGTGGCTCTGCAGCTGGCTACCATGAACATTTGGCATTTTTATAAAACAAGAGAATAGGCAATGCGTGTGTTGATTTCAACAAATGTTCTCCTGGGCTTTGTTAAACTACGTAATCTGCGGTGTGGCAGATAAGATTTTGTCTTGGTTTTTCCAAACAAAGCTCTGTGGGAGGCTGCTGTGGCTTTCTTTCACCTGTAGCAGCTCAGTTTCCTCCTGATTTCAAACACCAGCTGTGTTTGAGAGTTGACGATGACCAATAGTTTTGTGGTTGAGGGACTTGGAAATTCCACCAACTCAAAGTTTTATTTTTTTTAAGACAGCACATTGCTGTGTAGCCATGCTGGCCTGTGAACTTGTGATCCTTTTGCCTCAGTACCAACATCCCCAGGTGACTTGAGACAGTCTGTGGTTGTTTGGTAGGGAAATAACATGGGACTGGGGGTTAGAATGCTTGTGCTTGACTGTGTCCTTTTAGTGGAGGATATTGGGGTTATTCAGTCTCTGGACCTCAGAGACACTCATTCACCCAGTGAGCTGATTCTGTTAGTACTTAGGAGGCTGAGGTGGAGGCAGGATTATTGCCCAGAGTTCAAGGCCAGCCTGGGCTACATAGAGTGTTCCAGGCTAACCTGAGCTAGAGAAAGAGCCAAAAGAAAACAAGAGTTGATTCAAATGCTGTTTTCCCTACTTTCCAGAGTATGAGGAAGAGTGAGTGAGAAGAATATGCATCAGATGTTCATGATGTGTAAACTGTGTGTGTGAAGTTCTCATAATCACAACTGTCCTCAGTAAAAATGGAGGGACACTGCTGTTCTGAGGGCAGTAGGGCTGCATTTTAGGTGTTAAACCTAAAGCAGGAAAGCAGTGTGAGACAAATATAGGTGATGAAGATTCTTCATTTCAGTTCTCAGAAGGTAATAACTTGTGAACATCCAAACTTTTGGAAGGGCAGCCTTCCTTGGTATCTCTCTGGAGCCAGCAGGCCTGACCCATGGCTAAGTCTCCATCTCTGATCCAGGCCCCATGCAATCTCTTGTTTGTAGGTGGTCAAGGCATTAGATATCCTTGGTCAAAGCCTGCTCATTGAAATTCTGGCATCTCCTGATCTCACCCTGTTTACCCAGAGACCACTTCTCCATGGAGTCAATGTGCTGTCCCCACCTCCCATGGCCTCAGGTAGATCGCCTTGGTTCCTGCCTGAGTGTTTTGCTGATCTCTCCATTGTCCTGATGAATGTTGGGTTGACTGGGGCCATCTGTAGTTTCAGACTTTTTAAGGTCCAGCGAGGGAGCAGCTTCTCCACTGGCCATTGTCATTGATGGTCACAGTCGTGCGATTGGGGTGAGAAGTGCAAGGTTTCCAATTCCTGTGTATAAATTTGAGCATGGATGAACTGAGAGAAGTCCCCGTACAACAGGGATCCTGTCCTTAATTGTGGAGCTGATCCTGATGCTAAACTCTTACCTGTGGATCAGTGGAAGTCAAATTTCATTTCCATAGTGCACAGCACTTTGAGGTAACACTTTGAGGGAGAACACCTGAGAATTTCTGGTCCAGAGGTGGCAGACTTGCAGCTTCTTCTAGAAGCTTGGCACATGCAGTACCTGATGCATGAAGTGTTCGTGACCAGGTAGTGGTTATGTATTTCTGTTGCTTGTGTTTCTGTTTTGATTTGGGACAGAATATTTGCAAACACTACACAGCAAGTCTGTTTATGATTCTCTCATTTTGTCTTCTAGCTACCCTGAAAGCTGACTATTAATAAATCTTTTGCACAGCACTGCCCTACCTGTGGATCAGTGGGAGTCAGTTTCCTTTCCTTTGAGGTAACAGGATGCCTGAGGGAGAACACCTGAGAATTTCTGGTCCAGGGTGGCAGACTTGCAGCTTCTTCTAGAGGCTTCCTGTGTGCCATTGGCACCTGATGCGTGAAATGTTAGTGACCAGGCAGTGGTTATATATTTCTGTTGCTTGTGTTTCTGTTTTGATTTGGGACAGAGTATTTGCACGAACTGCACAGCAAGTCTGTTTATGATTCTCTCATTTTGTTATCTAGCTACCCTGAAAGCTGACTCTTAATAAACCCTTTGCACAACGCTGCCAAGACTTGGTGAAAGTCATTGAGGATTTTCCAGCCAAGGTACAGCTTTGCCTGCATCTCCCTTTGGGCACTTCCTGTAATTCTGAATGCATCTGTAGTAGGTAGAGGCAAGGAACTTCCTGAAATGCACATGATAGCCTCCTAAAACAAAAATACATCCATCTGAAAGCCTGGCACAGTAGTGCACATCACAGTTCAGCACTTGGGAGACAAGAAGATGAGGAGTTCAAGGCCAGGCTCAGCTATATAGCAAGTTCAAGGTCATCCTGGACTACATGGACCCTTGTCTCAAAACAATAACAACAAAACCAAAAATGTATCCAGCCCCAAATAGCAGTAGTGCCAAGACTGATATAAATAGTTTGAAACTTAATTTTCTACACACTTGGAATTGTTGAGCCCAAGAAGTTTGCCTGGACAAGTCAATACCAGATAGATCACAGTTATTGTATTAGCAGCTTGACTGTAAAAAAAATATTCTCTCTCCTTTTTAGTAGATATCTGTGAAGATCAGAAGATTTTGTTATGGTTGTGATGCTGGAAATTGAACCCAGGACTTTGCACATGTTCCACACCTTCAGCCCCTAAAAAAATATCTTTTAATTGACTGGGTGTGGTGTTTTATAGTCCCAGCACTTGGGAGGCCGAGGCATGACAATTGAGGTTACATAGCAAGCTCCTGTCTCAAAAAGCCAAAACAAAATCATGAACAAAAACCTTTAGTCAATGACTGACAACTGCCTAAACATAAAGCAGTACTGTTTGGTGTGTTATGTAATCGCTAGGAAAAACCCATAGCTGCACACTTGCTCCAGGGCTCCTGTGGTCTGTGCCTGTTACGTAGCGGTTTCCTCTGTGATAAAACCTATCTTGGAGAAAAACGCAGGATGTTCTCAGGGGAGGGGAACCTACCATCTTGGATAAAAATTCCTTAAGATGCTGAATGTTGTAAAGTGAGATGTAAGATTCCATCCTGCAGGGAAGGTCATTAAGCTCAGGAAGTAAAGGCTTCAGGAAGTCCCTGAAACTGTCCAGCTACACTAGGCCCTTCCTTCCCCAACTAGTGAAAACTGCTGAGACACTCAAGCAGAGCCAGCTGGAAGAGGCAGAAGCTAGTGGAGCTGCCTGGAAGTGGCTCAGACAAACTCAGCTGTGGGGAAAAGGCACGCCAACCTGTTGAATTGCCTGCAAGTTATGCAGTGTGTTCCAGATTTCCTGCTAACCTGAGCTGTCACCCATGCTGGGCTAGGCTTGCTTTGGTGATACAGCTGTCTTTGAGTCATTTCTGCTCCTGTAAGTTCTCCCCCATATTCTCGTAATCCCAATAAAAGTCACAGGTTCACCAAGTTGGATTTCTGTGGCATTCTTTTGTCATCAGTTCCTTATCTGTTGTCATGGCTCTCCAGGAATGGTGTCACACATGAGTGACCTCAGGTGGGCCGTGTGTGCTGCAGACTGGAATTGAGACGCGAGTGGGAAGTGGTCCTCAGGGAGCATTCCTGCTGCCTCACTGCACGCTGTTTCAGGAACTGTACACTATGTGCCTGTGGCTGTTCGAGAGCATCTTTGACAGCCTGAATGGTGTCCTTGTTGGCTGGAACCTGTCTACAGGGGTGTGTGCTCTGTGGAGTACAGCATTGTAATGGAATTTCTAGACCCAGGGTAGATAGGTTTTGCTCTTGAGAAGGGCTGAGTACTAGTATCATGATAATCCCTTCAGAAAAATACATAATTTGGGGGAATTTCATACATTAGTACTTGCATCATTTCTACCCCCGCCCCTACAACTCTTCCCGTGTTCCCCTACTCCCTTTCAATTTCCTGTCCTCTTTATTATTGTTACACATGCATACATTTATAATATATGTGTATACATATACACTGAGTCCATTTAGTGGTGCTTCTGGATATATGTTTTTAGGGCTGATTATGTGGGGTTAGGTAACCTATCAGGGAGCTCATCCCTGGAGAAAACTGATTTTCCCTCCCTCTGCATCCATTGACTGCCTATAGCAATGTAGTGGGACTCTGAAATTTCCCCCATCCACGTTGGCATGTCAACTGGTGTTACACAGGTCTTGTTAGGCTACTGTATTGTGACTTCTGTCAGGACATCAGCCATGCCCTTTGCCTCTTATGGCCTCCACCACACCAGCCTCCTGAAGTGACACATCTCTCATCAGACCTCTGTGAATGTAGCCCCTGCCTCCTATGATATTTGGTGGTCAGAAACCCTCCAGGTAAGTAAGTGCAAAGGAGGCTGTTCTCTGCTTGTTTCAAAACAAACTGCTTAGCAACCCTCTATCCTGTGGGGCAGGGGCGCTAAGACAGCCTTAGGATCTAAATGGCATTTTCTTGCTCTGGCATTTAGAAAACAAGATTGATGACAACCTGTATGTCACTGATCATATTTTCTGTCCCAGGCTCCCTTGTCCACAGAAATTTTGTTTTTTTTCTCATGAGGATATATTTATTCAGACTTTTAGTTTTCAGTAAATCCATCCATATAAATGCTCTCTGTACCCTACCCTGTCCCCATCTGACCCTCTCCTGTGTTGTCAGAGATAGGTCCCTGTGAGCACCACCTGGTGGATATTAATTTCTCCTGCGGAAGTGTTTGTATGATGGTGCATGGTAAAGGCCCTCAAAGCATCCACCCATTGTGTCAAGAGAGGCAAACGGGTTAGAGTCCCTTGTCTGCCCTCAGGCTCCAGGCTCTTGTGAAAGCTTGAGCCCTTCTACAAACTAGTGTCTAGAGAGAATCAGTTGGTTCCAGCACTGGATTCTGGGACTGACTGGGTAGTCACAGTGTTGCTGTTGACAGCTCAGAACCTGGGTAAGTTGGAATTCAGTATCCCAGCTTGTACAGAACTGGTGTATTGGGATGCTGTGCTTTTAGGAACTTCCTGGATCTCTGCAACAGTAACTACTGTTACAAAACAAAAACAAAACAATCCCCCCCCCCCAAAAAAAACTCCCCTGCCTTTGTTGAGATATCTTCCTTTCCCACCCCAAAAGGGCTTCCTCCCTTGGGGGTGGGGGGTGTCTCTTAGCCTGTGCTTAGTGCTTCATCACCTTCCTAGCTTCTGTAGACAGCAGCTTCCGGCTACAGCTTTGGCTTACACAGGGGCAGTCAGTGGCTGGAAAAGAGAAGTCAGGTGTACTATATGTCCTGTCACAGGGCCTGACCACATAGTAAGATGCTTCAGCCCCCAGTTCTTATTCCTTTTCCCCATGCAAGACTAGTGAGATGGTGGATAGAGATGGCTTGCAAAAGTCAAGTATAAGATGGAAAGATCCCACCAGACTTTCAGAGTATGGCACCTTTACTCATCTTGTGAGAGGTAAACCTCCTTGAGGTCAAATGTCTTTCAGGTGAACATAAACAGATCCAAGCAGGGATTTTTCCCCCTCTGGGTTGAGAATTTGCTTAGCTGAGGACCAGTTTCAGAGCCAGGACAGCTGTTTCCACAGTCTGAAGCAAACTGGGCCTTGGGGCTCCCAGGGTAGGATAAAGGCTATCATGGTAAGACAGGCCTCATGTGAGGCAACAGCAAGCAGAACAAAGATGTGACAGTGACAGTAGTGTGCAGACACAAGGTAATCAGCTCCAAACAGTACAACAGTGGGGGGTATCCTGGGTGGGGCTCCAGAAGTGCTCGCTTTCCATATACCTGCTACTCAATCCAGAGGAATATTCTAGCTTGTCCAAGCCCAGGTATATCCATTTGTTTTTTTTTTTTTTTTTTTTTTTTTTTTTTTTTAATTTTTTTGAGATGGGGTCTCCCTGTAGACCCAGCTGACCTGAAACTTGCTATGTAGACCAGGCTGGCCTTGAAGTCACAGAGGTCCACCTGCCTCTGCTCCGGAATGCTAGGATTAAAGGTGTGCGCCACTACAGCCAGCACTAGCTTTGTATTTTTGAAGAGAAGTTTGAAAGTTTCAGTTGGCTCACAGGTGTAGGTGTTTTCCTCTGGGTCTTCAGGCGAGAGCTCTAGGTTTGAGGTTCTTAATTTTATCCTGGAGATATGAACTATGCTGTCAGTTACCTGCAGCTTGACATCGTAGCCTAACTCCTATTGAGGAATCAATTGTTCTGTGGGTCCGTCTTTCCAAGTTAAAAAAAAAATGATTTATTGAGAATTTCATACAGGGATATAAGCATATAAGGTGTTTTGATCAAATCCATGCCCACTCCCTCCCCTCTAACTCCTCCCATATCTTCCCATTACTTTTTTCTGATAACTTCATGTATTCTTTTTTTTTTTTTTAAATGGGGCTTTTTGCTACTCTGACATTCCCCCCTCTGAAGAGATAGCCCTAAAATCTTTTAAGAATTAGATAAGAGCTCCCAAATACTTTAGACATTGTTGGCCTTTGGAACAGAGTATGTTGCTAAGAGGCCCAAGGACATTTTGACTTTTAGCCAGGAAGCTGGCTACTTTTCTTTGGGCTCTTTTTATACTAACTGCCTAGCCAATTCCTACCTCCTCTGAGTTGACCCTCCTCTGGTAGACTGGACACTGGTTCAAGTCCATATGGTGGGGTCTCCATGGCCTCCTTGATCAAGAGAACAGGTGACTCAACCACAGTTGAGTTACAGGACATTTTGAGAGATGTTCCATAGTCCCCTGGAACTTATTTGACCTTGGAGGACAAGGGTAAAAAACTGTCCTTTAAGTCCCTCTGACCAGATTAGTATAGGCCTCAAAGTATGGCTGTTAGACTGCCAAGAAGGTTAGTTCCATCAGTTTGGTACTTTTAATTACCATGTGCTATGTAGATAAAACTTGGGCGAAGACCAAACATTCTCAGATAAACCTTGCCTAGATATATATTTTGTTCCTTAAACTAGTTGACTAAACTATGACCTTAGAAATTTTAAGATTATGTATGTATTATTTTTGTCTCATCCTTTATATATCATAACCTACGCAGACCTTCACCACTTGCTTAGACATGTTTTTTTCTGTCTATTTGGAAAATATCTCCATTCCCATATCCTTTTAACATCTTTTACATTCTCATTTTTTTTCCAAAATTTTTAAAAATAATTATGAGATAATACCATTAACAAATAAAATTTCCAAATTCTTTTCCTGGAGATACTAAGCAATGCTTATACTCTTTTAAGGTTCTAGTGTCAAACCAATGTTTGATTAAAGTTTTTACTGGGGAATCAGTGAATTTTCTGAGATTACCTACAGAGATAACTGAGGGGTTGCTGAAGTGTATGAATGACCTGAGAGTATGCACACTGACCTTTACCCAGCATGGGTCAAGCCTTCTCTTCCTAGCCTTCCCCACACTGTATACTTTAGCCCTCCCCAAATCCAGGAGACCATGTGTGATTAGAGCCAAATTACATACAGTTTGCTGGCAAGACTGGCCCAATGACCCTGCTTGCCCCTCCTTTAATGAAGGAACACAACCGACAACAAGCCCAATTGTGATGATGCTTAGCAATCAGGCACTGCTGAAATTGTGATGATGGTAGTTATTTCATGCAGAAGAGACTGCTGTACAGTATCATTTTATTAAAAGAACATGGAATTTAAAAGGATTTGGTGCTAGGAGCCACAAATGAGGGTGAACATACGTCTTTAATTTTTCTGTTACTTCACTTAATATAACAGTTTCTCTTTTAAAAAATATTTTAATATATTTTTTATGTGTATGTGTGTATCACCCACATGTAGGTAAGTGTCGTGCAATGCCCATAGAGGACAGAAGAGGCTGTTGGATCCTTTAGAACTGGAGTTACGGACAGTTGTTAGCTGCCATGTGAGTGCTGGGATTCGAACCTGGGTCTTCTGCAAGAACGGCCAGTGTTCTTAACCACTGAGCCATCTCTCCAGCCCCAGCATAACAGTTTCTAGATCCATCCATTTACCTGCAAATTTCATTATTTCATCTTTCTTTACTGATGAATAAACTCCATTGTGTAAATATACCACAGTTTTGTTAACCACTCGTCAGTTGAGGGACACTCAGGTTCCTTCCATCTCTTAGCTATTGTGAAAGAGCAACAACAAACATGGTTGTACAAGTGTCTCTATAATAGGATGAGTCCTTCGGGTATATGCCAAGGAGTGGTATAACCAGGTCATATGGTAGGTTCATTTTTAGTTTTTTAATAGTTCTCCACACTTTTCCATAGAGGCTGCATGAGTTCGCAATCCCACCAGCAGTGAATGAGCATTTCCCTTTCTTCACATCTCCAGCATTTGGTATCATTTGTTCTCTTGATCCTAGTCAGGTTGGGGTAAGGTGATACCGTATAGTGTTTTAATTTGCATTTCCCTCATTACTAACGATTACTACTTTGAGATGTTTCTTAGCCATCT